AACAGTCTTTTAATATTGTGCCAAACATGTATGATCCTTGGAATTAAATTGAAATATGTCCTTATATAAGTAAATAAATCAGGCACCTTACTGTATTTAAACATTAAGCCATAAGAGGCTGCACACATAGCTTTTATAATATGGTGTTTTATTGAACATTAATCTTGATTCATCATAAGGAATAGAATTTAGTTAATTTAATGAAATTTTTTTTAAATATACTAATTCTTCAAACCCTGATATAATCAACAAATAAATCTCTTGTAGTACGTGGCAGGAAGTTTACAATCGAATCTATTTCAGTCAATTCTAGTCAATCAGTTTGGTTGATTTTGATCAAATGCATAAACTTATCTTAACTGCATAAAGCCCTCTTCCCTGGTGTCTTTTATCTTACTTTCTTTCCCTCCAGCCTGCGATATGAACGTTCATAAGACGTGTGTTATGAACGTGCCCAGCCTGTGTGGAACCGATCACACCGAAAGGAGGGGGCGTCTGTTCCTCAAGTGTGAGGTCACCGGGGAAAAGCTGCAGGTCACAGGTAGGCTGCATAACCGCTCCGCTCTGGTTTGAATGGGCTTAAAAATGTAAGGTGCCTGCTGTGTGTCTATGTCAGATGCTTGATGAAGACTCGTGTTGGTATGTATTTATGTGGATGTCACCTCAGGGAGGCTGGGATGAGGGTGTGGCTGGCAGCAGATGCAATTGTTCTGTTACGACTGTGAACCTGGATCAATGTCGACACTTTGCCCTTTTTTGTCAATAAACCCTGCCTGTCTAATTTCACACAGACGTTCACTCTCTATCCTCTGCTGCCATTAAGGTTAATTGAACCTTGCTCGCCGTTAACTCTGCCCTAATCTGCCTGCTTGTGATGCAGTGAATCCAAGTGCTGACTGCATGGCTGGCCTTGTGACATCAGCCATCAGTATGCTGCAAAGGCTAATCCCTTTTGGTGCACAGATCGATAGAGCCTCTCCTGCTAAACATTCGCCTCTGAGAAACATTCACAGTTACGACACACTTCGGAGATAGTCCCAATCCAAATATGTATTCCTGCAGTGGTGTGTGGTCTGCTGCGGGGCCTCGTGTTGTTACTCTTTTTAAACAGTCACGAATTTCTCTGTGTTGGCTGGAGTTTCTGGTGGAACTGAATTGTCTCTGCAAGGCGTATCGAATGCTTGATATTAATTGTCTCAACACAATTATACAAGGATAGGATCTGAGCGCTCTCCTTATGAGCAGGGTCATGGCTTTACAATCATCTGTCTTACCATTATTCATTAGAAGGCTACTCGTCATGATCACATCATTGGCTATCAATGCCATTTTAATTACGGATGCCTCCGGTTTCAAAGGAACACCTGGTCTTCGCCTACCAGGCTCAGAGAATGATTAATGAGATACTATTAATAGCCATTCCTTAATGTAATGTAATGAATGGTGATGCCCAGAAACGTACCCCATCTTTTACAAATCTTAGAAAGCCTTTTGTTAATATTGTCTGAACAGCCACAAAAAGCGAGGTATCTGAAAAAAGATACATGTCATGTCTAATCTATACATTAATGTGATGGATAAAGAGTCATTTCTCTGTGATGCAGTCTACTCCCTTGTCAGTCTCTATACAGCAAGATGTTTTAGCATGAGGAATGTCACTAACTAAAGCCACAAGGTTTGATAAGATATCTATGAAATCATTTTCACTACTATCTGCTCCTCCCAAACTTTGCTGTTCATTACTGTTGTATTTATTTATTTATTTTGCAAACAATGCATGAACAATATGTAGGCTTAAGCAGTTATAAATAACAAATTATTTGACTATAATCATAACTGTCGCCTTTGCAGACAGTGTTGAATAATCATCACCGAGCAAATAATGACTGACCAGCTGCTGTGGTTAAGCTGAGATAATTTCACGCATAATCTGTCAAATGCACTGTAACTGTTGTGACATTCTGAGTCCCTGGCTAAAAGTAGCACACAAAATGATCAGTGTTTGTTTGATACTGCTGTGTGTGCAGTGTGAATGAACGTGCAGTGCTGTCGTCCACCAACAGTGCAGCACAACAGTGTGTTATTGTATAGGAGCCCATTTTTGCCTTGTATTTCGAGGCATGCTGAAAATCCTCAGGCTGTAAGGATGCATTAGCACATCCGCTAGAAGAATAGTGACAGCGAGGAGCTGACAGCAGGCGCACATAATCATTCATTAGTTGGCTATCAGGGATCAGTGGGTCATCACACCACCCTGGCACTGAACTTCACTGACTTATTCACTTAACAAGTTATCACTAGAAGGAGGAGGGTGAATGTGGGCAGGGAAGTGGTGCAACACCTACACACATACCTAACACAACACAAACTTTAATTTGAGCAACCAACAAAATTACTTGTGCATGTTTGTTCGTGGCAGTTCTGTGCTCATTATCTGAACACTAAGGTTTGCTCTACATACTTCCGATCAGTATATTTGTACACATTCTAATGTTGCATTACAGTCACACATGCCAAATTAGCCTCAACTAAAAAAAATGCACATAGTAAACTGAATGGTGGAAAAGATGGACACCTGTGGTTACATAAAGTATGAACTGTGATGATTAATATCATGCATGATCTTGCCAAATGTATGGCTGAAGTTTGCTTCAGCAACTGTCTTCAGTCACACAAACACACTCACATAAACCAGTATAACTTTGAGAGAATGTGTTTATTTAAGTAGTGAAGTTAAAATACCTTAGCAGAGACAACAGTTTAAACACAGTTGAGCCAACTTGAAAACCTACTGACTTGGTCAAATGATGCACAAATATTTATTTGAGATTTGGGCTGAGACCACTCTCCATCTGTTGGTACCTCTTGACATGAATTAATCTCTCACATGCTTGAATGCATGTCCTTTTATTGCACTTAATGCAGTTTATACTGTTAATACATTGCTTGTGATTAAGAAACTGGGACTAACACAATGTTATTTACCATTTGGAAGCAGAGGGATGTTCAGTTATAGAACTGTGATATCTGTGATAATGTGTGCCAGTATATGTGTATGTGTGTACACCCGGGATGGGAAACAACCATTATCACCTGCACTGGTATCTAAGTGAGTGAAAACCTGCAGACTCTTGAGACCCTCTATTGTACATAGTAGCCAATTCCTGATGTGGACCAAACATGCGTGTTATAGTTTGTATGGTGTGTGTGTGTGTGTGTGTGTGTGTGTGTGTGTAGCACTACTGTACTAGCCCGCAGCCCACTCAAGCCAGATTGTAGCATAGATTGCATTAGGTGCTGTAGACGGCTTGCAGACAGCCTGCCAAACAGAATTGTATTACATGGTGAGGCATTTAGCAAGGGGGAGGTGCAGCGGATGGCTGTGAGGAGGACAGTTAACATCAATTTCAGATGTATCATTCTACAAACACAAGTGGAATCTTTTTATGAGGATGCATATGCGCTGACTGTGACATACATCGTGTCTACAAATAGTGTGTAGACACTGGCGCTAAGCTAGCTGTTGATAGTTTGGAGAGCTCTGACAGAGACATAGTGTAATGATAATGTAACTAATTACTCCCGCCATTGTGCAAGTAGGAAGTAATGTATCTTTTACAGTGTGAAAAAAGAAATGTTTTACTTCTTTCAATTAACTTGCCTAACACTGTTTATGATACTTGCTCTAAACAAAGGTGAAGCTGTTGACTCCTCTGTGCCACAGCAATTCCTTGCTTTATTATTATTATTATTGCCATCTGGATCAAATAAAAAATAATGATAATAATAAAAATAATACATACAAATTATGTGGCGTCTGGTGGGAATTTTTTTATATTCCTCAATTCAAATAAAGTATGTTCGAGTGATGTGTAAGAGTGGTATCGTCTCTGGAAGGTGGTCATATTCTTTGTACTCTTCAAGGTGGTTATTGGCTAATGCTCCTTCATGCGTACACACACACACCACACACACACACCACACACACACACACACACCACACACCACACATCCATCAAATTATTATGAAGCAAGCAGTCTCTTCCGCAAAAGCCTCATTGCCTTTGTTGGTAACCAAATTTACATTGTTTATTTATCAAGACCATAAAACCAATATTTTCATAAACATTTGCTGTTCAAATCAGTAGCTCCGTTAATAATTATCTCACTGTATTTTACATGAAACAGTAATTCTCCTCAGTCAGTGTCAAACCTGCAGACGTTTTAATAGGAATCATATTTACAATCCAGGTGCAACCTTGTTATCCACAGTCTTCAATCCAAGCAAAGCTGCTACAAAACAGAACAAGCAACGTAGCATGGCGCCTTAAAGTCTAGAGGGAAAGCATGAATGTGCAAGAATCCCCAAACCAGCCCACAGTTCACACACTCAATTTTAAGTGAAGAGTGACTCCAGTTTATTTTGGATTCACCAATGGCCAGAGCCAAAATGTTCAGTGGCTGTCAGGGGAAGCAGCTGTCCTTCAAACCCATACATGGACCCGTACATGGACCCACACATGAACTCCAACCAGACCAATAGAGAGACAAACAGACTTTCTGGCAACAACACTGACATGGCAAAATGAAATAATGAGTCACTCAGAAACACAGAGATATTTGTACATTTTCCAGAAACATGAGTTGTGAGACTGTGTTTTTGTCAGTTAGGGTGAATGGAGACCGCAGGGGAGGTGCTGAAGGAGACAAAACAAGTTCTGTGTCTCTGGTGAAGGACAGACGTAGCCCACTAACCTTGTCACCCACTAACACACAGTTCCTTTCTGTCCGTTTGTGCTGAGGAGCCACCCTTCTGTTTGTTTCAGTGACCCCATTGTTCATTGACTCAGTGAAAACATCCACTGAGGTAATTTTTGTCTGTATTCTTAAATTTATACTCATCCTCATCACTGTGTGTGAATGTGCACACAGGCATCTGCAGGCACCCTCGCCGCTGCCTGTCCTATGGGAGTGTGTGAGAGACAGTGGTAATAATTACATTTCCATTTGTTCCCTCGTTGACTCACCCAGTTCTGCAGAAAAGCCTCATTTAACAAGCCCTCTGCTCCCCTTCCTCTCTGATTTAACCTTTTCATTAGATTTTTATTCTTGCCTCGCTGTCCAAATGTGTTTTCTGCTATTCACTACACTGATGCTGCTGTAGGAGTCAATTTGTTTTATATGTAGGTGCAGTGTAGGTGTGTGAAGGTCAGATCGGTGCTCAGAGTGGATATAGATGTGGGTGGATCAAGGAATTCAGATTTTGCTTTTGAACCTTCTGGAGGTGTATCAGCCCTTTACAGTAAAAGACAAAATCCACCCTAAACGCTGTTAACATCTTGTGGCTGATGCAGCGAGAAACAATTTACCTTGCAATTCTGAATCTATTTTACTGCCGATGTTGTCGTATTGTTTTTAATGTAGAAAACTGTCCAAATTTAGAAAGTATAACAGCAGAAGAAGATATCTATCTGAACAAGAAAGTATCTATCTGAAACATTAATGGTATATGTTGGTGTATACAGCCAAACAGGGAGAAAGATAGAGTGGATACCAGAATGCACTGCAACCACAGCTTTCTCATCTGGTCATAAGCTGCATGCAAAAATTTAAATGTTTCATGGTATTGCTCTTTATGCACATTTACTTTTTTATCTGGATAAACTTACAACAATGTACTGTTCATTTATGTCTGCAGAAAGTCCATGCGCTATCTGAAACAGCATTCTGGTAAATGTGGGAAATCATGCAGTGAACAGAACAATTCCATACTTTGTAACAGAGGTGTTCACACAAGCTTAATACGGTGTTAAAATAATTCTTGTGTATTAAATCCTGTGCAGCAACACTGTAGATGCATATATTTCTCTCTGTCTTCACTCTTCAATCTCTTTTCACTCACCTCCTTGTATCACCTCACACTCATTCTTTTTAAGGATGCTCACTGAGTCAAGTGTCAGATTTTAACTTTAAATTTGTTTTTTGTTTTTTTTGCATGAGCCTGCATAACATCTAGGTTGCCCTAGTTCAGATTTCTCTCCATATTTAGTATTTTTTTTTTTTTTGCCAATAAGCTATTTGCATTCTAATTTCCCACTTGTCTCTCTTCCTTTCTCACTCAGTGGTGCAGCACATCCTCATTCCTCCCCCTCCTTCCTATTGAGCTGATCATGTTGATCAGAGTCACTAAATTAGTGAAATGTCAAAGTTCGTCCGTTTCATATAATTCTTTAATTGTATAATTTAATATCTTCACATATCGATTAATACACCGTTTTCCAATTTGTCCCTGCATTATCACGTCCATGTTACCAGTAAGGTTCTTATTCAGTAAGCCAGTCATTCAAACAAAATTATATCCTCCCTTTTATTGTTGGCTCTCTGAATCCAAGGAGGACTTGCTATGAGGCCGAGTTGGTGTTTGCATGCAGCCTGCGGGTTGCCATTTGACGATCACTGCCCAGTGATTTGAATGCCGCTGACTTACTGCCACTGCTTCCACTCCGCAGCCTTAACAGTCATTTCCATTTCTTTGTAGTGTCTGAGTCATCGTGCAAAAAAGCCAACAGATTCTTGCCAAGAGAAAATTTACTTAAAATCCTGCTATTACATTTTCCCTATGAATCAGAGTTAAGTTGGAGCAGCTGACAGCACTTGTGTTGGTACCAGTGCCAGCACTTTTCCACTGCAGGGAGTTGGCCGTTGAGACTCCTGTCTAACTGTGTGCTTGTAATAAAGATACAACCCATCAGAACAGTACCCCATTACAGTTCATTTTCAGCCCATATTATGCTTTTTATGCCAATTTTAAAGAAATTTATCTATTTTGCTTAGATTATCCCATTTTATATGGGTTAGGGTTAGGGCAAATTAATTATTTAAAAATCATACAATCTGATCTGGATTTTTGTTTTAGATTCCGTCTCTCACAGTTGAAGTGTACCTATGATAAAAATTACAGACCTCTACATGCTTTGTAAGTAGGAAACCCTGCAAAATCTGCAGTGTATCAAATAATTGTTCTCCCCACTGTGTGTGTGTGTGTGTGTATATATATATATATGTGTACACGCACACATACATACATACACACATACACACACATATAATATTACATTATAAAGAAATCAGTTGTGCTGTTCAACATGCTACTTTTTCAGAGCAGTTTGTAAGTAGTGGGCTTTCAAAGGAGCACAGAGTTCCACGGAGAGGGTGGAAACTGTTGGTTTAAGTTTTTATAGACTGTGTTTACCTAGGGAGGTGAAGAACAAACATGGCTGGCCTCCTTTTTGGTAGGGTCATCTCGTGAGAGCTGAAGACAAGGCTTTGTGTCTTGTGTAGGTGTGTGTGTGTGTGTGAAATCATGTAAATTCTTGAAAGAACAGGAATGAATGAAATTTTAGGCTATTTCTACTGCTGCAACTCTTAAAAACTAAGCTCTGTAATGTCAGTGTGCATTATAATGAACCTTCTGAACAGTTCAACTGTATGAATAGGGAAATCAACAACGAAATCTGTCCAGATATTAGCAACATGTGCCTATTTGTTTTCCCAATAAAAAAGAGTTTAAAACTTCATGTAGTATGCAGTAGATGAGGTACAGACCTCACTAGAAGGCATTCATGAGGCAGTCAGGATTGCAGAGTGAAATCATATGGGCTGATTAGCTGTTATAATTTCAGAAAGCTGAGCAAGGCTGAAATTTACCGAGCTGATGAGTTATAAAATAACATAATGTATCAAGACCAAACGTAATGTTTGGTGGGTGTTCAGCTTGGCTCAGCTGGTCTGCAGTCTTATCAGGTTAGCAGATACCATTCTTGCAGGGTTTTGGTTTTAGCTGATGCATGGTGGGACAGAACACAAGTTCAACAATCGCTTTTTTGTAAAAACTGCCCCATGTTTGTCTTGTACTGCTCTTTAAATGCAAGCCAAGATAGTTGTGAAGACTTGTATCCAAGCAACTATGTTGTGGCCCCTGCTTCTTTTGTCCTAGTGTTTGTCTATTTGCATAAGCACGTGTTTTTAAACTCAATTGAATGGATAAATGGAATCATTATGCACCAACATGTTTGTTATGTCAGGTTTATTATTTAAAGAAGATAATTTGATCTTAAACCAGGAATTGTCAGCGCCACAGACTGGACATGAATTTGTAAGCTGCAGTACATCCGAAAAGAGTTAAGACTACACACATATCTTGATAGGTTTATATTGTGCCAGGCAAATTAAATTAGACAATCTGTGATGCCTCCTACTGGTCATGACTGAAAGTAAAGCTTGCAATAACTAAGACTTAACTTAATAGTCTCATGTCTTGCACATTCTGCAATTCATACCGACAGGGTATACTGACAGAGAATTTTTTTCCCTCTCATTCTAGTGTCAGTTCTTTTTTCTGATTTTATCAGAATAAGCTTTATTGGCCATGTATGTAAGTCAGTAAGACATTAGTGTGATGGTGCAAAGTGTGCTGAAATAAATATGAATGATGTAACAGGTTGCTTTATACACATGAGATAGGTGATATCCCACAGTATGCTCTGTGTATAACTTAGTGTTTGAGGATGATATTTACGTGTAAAAATACTTTATATTTTAAAAAATGAGAAAATATATATTGTACAGGTACACTGGATGTTTATGTGGGTTACTGCAAAGGGATTGTTCCTGACATCATGTGAGTGGTGTGTTCATCAGAGTGACGGCCTGTGGGTAGAAACTCTTCTTGTGTCTGGACGTTTTGGCATACAGTGCTCTGTGGCGTAGTGTTGTGTGGCTCTTCCTTAAGTCCAGTGTCATCTCTACAGTTTTCAGCATGTTCAGCTCCACATTGTTCTGACAGCACCAGAGGGCCAGCTGTATGCAGACTCATCACTGTCTTGGATCTGCAAATTTGACACAGATGAGTCTCCTGAGGTGCTTTGTGTAGAAGGAGATGTGATGTTCATCTGCCTCACCTGCTGCCTCCTTCCTTTCTGGAAGTTATGAACATGTAATTATCACAGAAATTTCCATCGTTTCATCTAAGTTCTTACAATACTGTTTTTAAAGTTTGTATTGTTTGACATAAAATCACAATCATTACACAGTCATTCCTGCATATTATCTTGTCATCTAGGTTGACCAGTGAATATATTACAAAGTCACTTACACAAGCACAAGCCACTGAACAATGTCCCTTTGTAGGTCTGTTTTTATAAATAGCATTTGGGTGCCGTGACTTTGCATCCATGCAGCCAGCATATGAAATATTCAAAACATGACCTTTATAATGCATGAATAAAGCTGAAGAAGGAGCATTTGGTACAGAAGTTGAACCTTTATCAATTCACATATAATACATGTTACACAGAACTCAAATAGAACAAATATAAAATAATTCTGCTCAGGTGGTTTATGTGGATTTGGATCATCCAAGTTGAGCGCTGTCAGGGTAAAAGGAAACTATCTACTGGATTGTAAATTATTACCAGACGTCTAAAGGCAGAAAGGTGATGTTGAAATTGAATAGCTGTTCATAAATTCACCGTGTAGATCACCACTGGTACTTTCTTCTGTTATATAGGTGGCGCTGTTAAATCCTCACCCATGTGTATCCTGTCAGTCTACTGAGAGCTGACACTAAAAATAATCCTTCTGATACACAACCTAGTACATGACGAGCCAGCTGGTTTATCAGGGATATCATAACATCAACATTTATTCCACGGTTGTTACTTTTACAGCCACAGATTATTAGGGACCATCTGCAATTCCATCAAGAAGATGAAACAGACAAAATGTGAATCCTCTTGTTGAGCTCACTTATTAAATTAATTTCTATTGCATTTCACCACAGGGGAGACTGAAACACAGCCCCTCTTTGTTTCAGTCTCCCCTTCTCTGTTGTAGAATGCATCCATATTCAAGTGCAAATACAGTATACAGTTAGTCATTATTTGGTGCCTGTAGACAGGCTTAACAATTATTTATTGGATTTCTGAGAAAGCAGAGGGTTGCCAGCACAGGATCGCTCAATACCTTCCCACACCTCAAGTTGCTTCTGTAAGTATGCTCCCTCTCTGTGTCTCTCTCCTTTCTCTCAGCGAGGTGTGTGTGTGTGTGTGTGTGTGTGTGTGTGTGTGTGTGTGTGTGTGTGAGAGAGAGAGAGAGAGCGTGCACTCCATCACTCATCAAACTTCACACCTCGCTAACATTGCTCAACACCCAAATCCTCCACCAATGGCGCTGAGAATAAAATAAAAGCAAATGATGGGAGAGTATCTACTCTTGGCTTATTAAATGGCCATTTGATTCTATTGGTGCAACCACACAGAATAAAATAAAGCCACTTTGTCATGGAAGGTTTTACCAGCTGCTCAGATAATAAAATATTATCATTTAAAGTACTGTTCCTGTGAGCATTTATCTTGCCATGAATTGTTTAACTTTTGTGGCATCCTATCAGAAAGGGAATCATACTGTATTCTTTTGTGAGCACATCTGAAGAGGGTCTCATGTTCTTCTCTTTGCAACAGTTTCTGTATTAACTCAGTGGTGAACATCCATTTGTAACATTTATTAATCATCCCTCTTAATCCTATCAATACTGGATCTCATTCAGAGTATTCCAGCTAAGATCAAGGGTTTTACATATTGACATAGTGCCTTCCTCTCCAGGTCTAAGGTCAGTTAGCATCTTCGCTATTCAGGCTGCCATTGTAGTGTGAATAACAGGGCCACATGGAAGGATCTCTGGGGTCTCCAGTAGCCAAGCAAAGCAGGCATTCACCCTGTACCTGCAGGGTTGCATTTCTTTACACAGTATGTGTATGTATCTGTGTGCACTGTATGTCTGAGTGTGGGCAGGGATGTGTTTATGTGTGCGCTGTACTGTAGCTCAGGTCTGGCAGCACTCCAATACCCAGGGCTAATGGAGCGCTAATGTCTCTGGTGTGCCCTTGTTTACTGAACAGCTAAATACAGGAAGAAGCCTTCGCCTACTTAAGCATCACACTGCCTGAAATTTTGAATCACTGTTCTCATAAGAAACCTGCATTTGCTCCCCATATGGCTCGGCGCCATAAACAATCCTCATAGGCTGTGACTTACTGTTTGATCTTGAACACCTGCAATTTATTCTATTGATGTTCACCTGTGGCTTAAAAGAAAGCAACTGTTTTTCCTCACCAAAGCGATTTTGTATTGTAGAAACCACACGGAATATGAATGAAGTCTTCAGTGTAGAGGAAATGATGTGTTAATTTAGCTGTTGTTATTGGGCTGATTTAATATATTGATCCTGTGTTAGAACAGTACCTAGCAGCTCAGTATGGTGCAAATTTAAAAAATTGCTTTTACAGAGTCCCTTATACTCTACATACACAAAAATTCTATGTAGTTTATCTGTGTCTCTAGATAAATTAAAAATTTCTCCCTATTCTTTATCTCCCCATCAGTGGGTGAAGGCAAAAACCTGATCCCCATGGACCCCAATGGCCTGTCTGATCCATATGTCAAGCTCAAGCTCATTCCAGACCCCAAAAATGAGACCAAGCAGAAGACCAAAACCATCCGCTCCAACCTCAACCCCAAATGGAACGAGACCTTTAATTTGTGAGTAAATTACCTGTCATCACCTCTGTCCTACCACTGGCTACACTACATGTTAGGATATTTTACAGTGTGACATAATGACTTTTGTGAATGTAATGCCAGCTGAATATTAAAAACTACTATATCAGCTTCTAATGTTGATACTTATCATTCTAAAGATTATTTTACGTTTACCGCTACTGATACTGGTACTGCTGCTGTTACTACAGTACAACTGCTATCCCATTCCGATACACCATCATTTCTTCACCAAACCTTTTTGGCTATCTTGCCTTCATCAGGGTAGTTTCTGAAGTTGTTTCCGGTTTCCTTTTTTATGGTCCATCAATCAGTCATGTGGCCTATACATCACCATAGATACTAAATATACAAAATAACATTACCATCAGTTGTTTTTTCTTCATTTATTTGACACAATACAATAAATAATCCTATTTTATACTGATATGTACAAGACAAATATAAATGACCAGAAGCAGAAAACATGCTAATACTAATCTTACATGGGTCTGCACTGTATTTGATATTAAATATAATTATTTAGCTGAAAATCTGAACACAAAACTTGACCTAGATAATCATGTGTACCATCTCTGTGTTGTATAGCAAGCTGAAGCCTACAGATAAGGACCGCAGACTGTCAGTGGAGGTGTGGGACTGGGACCGGACCACTAGGAATGACTTCATGGGGGCCCTTTCCTTTGGTGTATCAGAGCTCATTAAGGCTCCAGTCTGTGGCTGGTAACGCTCACTTACATGTTGTTGTTATTGACCCTCACATATTGTTTGAAGTTACACAGTGTGGTATTAACTAGGTTTCCAATTTGAACCCCATCAGCTATGAATCTCACTCCACAAATAAAATAGTTCTTTATTTTTATCCTGAACAAAATATTCCTTCCTTGCAATGGAATATGTTGTTGAACATTACACACATTATTATTGGGTGTGAATGCTGCAAGCATTCGCATCCTATGTTATTGCTAACTTTTATTATCGGGTGTGAATGCTGCCTACTCCACTTTGAAAGCTCACCAGTTCAGCTACAGACTTGATTTAAACTGTAAATTGGTCACAAGGAGTTAATCTATTAATGATGTATTCAGCGTTTCAAAATATTTTATGGTTTGTTCACGGTCGCTGTTGAAGTTTTATGCTTTTTTGAGCTCTTTTCTGAGTTTATAATACGAGTGTATTGCGTGAGTTAGAGTGGGTGACATCATCACTACCGTGTAGCAGGCTTGTAAAATCGTCTTAAACTTTTCTCTTTAACTCGCTGGCTTGACCACAATTTTAACTCTTCATCCATAATTTTACACCAGAAACGTAGTAAATTTTGTTGTGGTTCCTCACATGGGCTTTTTAAATCCCTTGGATTACAGACCAGAGAAGGATTTTCCTATCTGTCTGTATTGTAGAGCTGGTTACCTTGGTGACGTAAGTTAGCTGATCTAAGATCAAAGGACTGGGTCCTCTGTTCTGATTGGTGGACTGAAGTTAAGCTATTTTCTGAACACCTGTTTGTGTCCTCTTCAGAATCAGAATCAGTTTTATTGCCAGGTATCTGTACACATACGAGGAATTTGACTCAGGATTGTACATATGATATACAGGTACACATACACATACATGCATACATGTACACATGTACACAGTGTGATGGAGTATAGTGCAAAGGATGCTGGAAAAAATAAACAAGACCTGTGACCTTATGACCAGAGGTAGGAGTATTGGTATACAGTATATACAATATGACATAGTATGAACATGGTATGAACAGCACTGAAATAGAGAATGGTGAATAAATAAATAATAAGTGGAAACCAGTAAACAGGTGCTGATTAGAGACCGAGTTACTGGGTTCACACACATACACACACACACACGCATTAATACACTGACAGACAGACAGACACAGAGCCCTCAAAGCATGGAGCTTTAAATTTTACTGAATGGGAGAACACATGTATGCATAACTGTGTCCTAGCAGACACACTCGCGCACACATTAAAGGAGACTTATTAGGTTTCTTTTATTTTCTGTCTTATCTATAATGTTACAATGTCAGATGTTTATGTTAAATGTGGTCAGAGCTCTACTTTTGGCTCTTAATGATGTCATATAGAACTAGTTTTCATATATGGTAATTTGCCTGCAGCTTCAATAACAACTGGCAACTCCTATGCTTAGTTTGTCTCTACCACTGAGCGGCATAATCATCCTACTTCAGGATCTTGGCCAATCAGAACACAGTGGGCTTTTGGAAGGGGGAGGGGGGAGCTTAAAGAGA